GTCAACTGTAACTAGTTTATTAGAACTTATATGTTATATACACAGGGGGTTTTCCATAAAATGCCAAACTGATATTATATATACTGATTTCAGTAAGGTTTTTGACAAAGTGGATCACACATTATTATTACATAAACTTGACAAAATGGGTTTCGCAACATTATTTTTATCATGGATATCATCTTATTTGCAAGGCCGTACACAGAGAGTTTCTTTCAATAATGTTCTTTCTAAACAGATAACTGTGTACTCTGGTGTCCCCCAGGGTAGCCATTTAGGTCCTCTACTTTTTGTATTGCATCTAAATGACCTTCCAACGGTTATACGTTACTCTAAGATCCTAATGTTTGCTGATGATGTCAAACTTGTTTGTAATATGGACTCTCACATTAGTTCCCTTAACTTGCAACATGATATCTACTGCCTTGTTAATTGGTGCAGTGCTAATGGTATGACGCTAAATCTCAAGAAATGTAAAAAACTGTCTTTGTTTAGAACACAACCATTTAAAAGTGATTACCTCATTGGTTCTTACAAATTGGACAATGTAGACTCATTCGTTGATCTTGGTGTAATTTTAGACAATAAATTGCGTTTTAATTTGCATATTAATTCATGTGTAAATAAAGCCAAGTCATTGCTGAGTTTTATAAAAAGATGGTCAAAAGAATTTGACGATCCTTATGTGACTAAGCGTTTATTTATTAGTTTGGTTCGGCCCACTTTAGAATACGGTTGCGTATTGTGGAGTCCTTTTTACAAAACATATTCTGCTAAATTGGAATCAGTAAAAACCCAATTTCTTTTATTTGCTCTCAGAGGAATAGGATGGAATATAAATGATACACTTCCACCATATGAGAATCGCCTAAAACTAATTGATCTTCCGACACTGGAAAAGAGACGTTTTATGTTAAGAGCTTTATTTATTATAAAACTTTTGCGTGGCGAGATCGATTCACAGTTTTTAACCGGTGAATTAAATTTTAATATTCCTGCTCGTAATACTCGAAATTACATACCACTTAAACTTTGCTTGGCTAAATCCAATTATGAATCTTATAATCCTATGAGGATGCTCATTAAGGGTTCTATGAACTCAGTAAGCGTTTTACTTGATGGAGTAGAGCGATATTGTCCATTTTTACACCTGGGCTAGCACAGATAAAAGTTGCGAAGATTGAACAAAATCAGATGATCCTTTCTTTTTCTATAAGCTTAAATTTCTTTTCTTTGAAAATGTTGCCCTTTTGTGGGGGAGATACCAGAAGGAGTGGATCCGTTTCCCATCTCAGAACTCGATCTAAGTTTGATAAAATATTGGGATGTACCAAGTTTTAACCAGATCGGATACTCCCTTCAAGAGTTATCGTGCACACAAGCTAGACAGGCAAATGGACGAAAAACTGATTTAGTCCAAAAGGCCTAGGGTTTGAAACCGCTATTTCGATGAGGCACGTATTGCCCTATCAAATGATATACACCCTTTGTAGCCATATGGCTCACGTTTTTGAGCCAACCAATAAATTTAATGATATTGTAATATGGTGTTGCGAATTCTGCGGCATTACCATATGTCTTCCTTAATAATGCTCATTATGGGAACGCCTTTTGGCATAATACCCATATAACCGGAAGGATTTTGCTTCATTATACCATTCATTAAAGTAGGGTTCTTTTAAATTTGTTACTTCGTTTGAATCACTTGTCTGTCTGCCTATTAAAATCAAGGAATAGCACATACTATAAAAAACGAGACTTTAAAATTTTGCCACTGATGTATAGGTAGAGATCTCACATACATAACCTACAGGTTTTCAGCATTGTATGGCTTTACCCTCAATTTCCATGCACATCAGATGTAATTCTCAGAAGGTTAGACTACCCACTCCTCTTAAAAAGCTTCAATGTATATCGGTAACCTTCTGATTTTTGATATTTTTGAAGCTTATTGATATTCTTAAATATTGACATTTGACTAAACTTGTCATCATCAGTTGTAATGTGTTCCAATATAACCCTCCCCATTTTAGAAATAATTTGAAGATCTTTTAAAACTTCATTCAATTTTTATCTTGCTTTTGCAGTCGTGATGTATTTTTTCGACAAATGCTCTATATTGGTTATAGCATTTATTTTAAATTTTGTTCTTACAATGCATTCGAGGATTAAATATTTTTTTTTGTCAATGATCAAGCGATGAATAGAGAACGAATCACGTCCCATGGAAATTGGAAAGTAAGTAAAGTTTCCAATTTCATACACTACTTATATTTTTATGTGTTTGAATACCTTTCAGTAGGCCAATTTTTTTTCTACGATCTCTTGTTAATCTATCAAACGTGTCGTTTGTTAAGATCAATTATATGTTATTTTTTATGTTCGTATATTCTCTTTACTTTTGTCATGCTGATGTAAGTGATAACATTTATCGTTGGGTTTCTCAATGAGTTCATTCAGAAAATGCAAAAGTGTGACATTTATTGGTACGATACTCGTATGATCGGTATCGGCAACCGACAAAATTTTATTTGCTCTTTGTTATACCCTCCACCATACTATGGAGGGTATATTAATTTTGTCATTCCGTTTTTAACTCCTCGAAATACTCATGTCAGAACCAACAAAGTATATATATTCTTGATCAGCGTGAAATTCTAAGTCGATTTAGCATTGTCCGTCTGTCTATTGTAATCACGCTATTTGTCGAACCAATTGAGATAGAAGGCTAAAATATTGCACACATGTTTATTTTGCCAGTAGGCAGGTTAAGTTCGTAAATGGGCCATGTAAGTCCACGTTTTCCTATAGCCCCCATATAACTGTACCTCCGTATATTCGGTATTTTGATGATTTTAGCGACATTATTCACCGGAAATGTTTGAAATTACGTATTTAGAGTTCGTAATAGGAACTGCAGTCTGTGACAGAAAATTGTGTATGCAGGTCCAGGTCTTCGTATAGGCCCCATATATCAGTACCTTCGGCATTTTGACGATTTTAGGTACAATACTCACCGAAATTGTTTGAGATGTTGTATTTGAAGTTCGTAATGGATGCTACAGCCTGTGACAGAAAATTGTCTATGCAGGTCCTGATCTTCGTATAGCTCCCCTATAACGGTACCTCCGTACATTCAGTATTTTGATGATTTTAGCGACATTATTCACCGGAATTCTTTCAAATTTCGTATTTGAAGTTCAAAATGGATACTACAGCCTAAGACAGAAAATTGTCTGTGCAGGTCCAAATCTTCGTATAGGGCCCATATAACGGTACCTCCCAACATTCGGTATTTTCATGATTTTGGCGACATTTTTCACCGGAGTAGTTTCAAATTACGTATTTAGAGTTCGTAATAAAAACTACAGTCTGTGACAGAATTGTGCATGCAGGTCCAGGTTTTCGTATAGGCCCCATATATCAGTACCTCCCTATATTCGGCATTTTGACAATTTTAGGTACAATAATCACCGAAATTGTTTGAAATGTTGTATTTGAAGATCGTAATGGATGCTACAACCTGTGACAGAAAATTGTCTATGCAGGTCCTGATCTTCGTATAGCCCCCACTATAACGGTACCTTCCAATATTCCGTATTTTGATGATTTTAGCTACATTATTCACCGTTTATTTCAAGTTTCGAATTTGAATATGGTAATGGCTTATGACAAACAAAGCCTATGTAGGTTCATGTCGTAGATACCTCAATACAACGGCTTTATTCGGTATTTTTAAGATTTTAAAAGAATTTTTAACGGATTTTATTTTTTGAAAATTTCCAAATTCGTTCTAAATGGTGGAGGGTATTCAAAGTTCAGCACGACCGAATTTACTGCTTTTAAACTTGTTAAAGTTTATTTTAAACACTAATTGTTCGCGTGTGAATATTCTTTGGAAAATATCTTCCTTTACCCTCTATACTATTCTAATCAAAATTCACTTGTTCAATATCTGTTAAAATTTAAATACCCTACCCAGCTATAGCGATAAATACAAGTAAAGAAATGTTAGCGTATGTATGTGTGCTTGTGACAATACAATTACTAATTGTTGTAGTCAATAAACTTTGACGTACGACGTACGTACATAGATTTTGTTCGACCACAGTTTTCTCCCTGGCAACATTTCATTCATCAGAGTCCGTCCGTCTCAGTATTTGAATATAGAAATTGAAATAGAATAGAAGAAAATTTCATATTAAATTGAATCGTTTATGAATAGAATCTAAGCAATAATTGATGTGATATGTACATATTAGATATGTACGAATATATACATACATATGTATTTAAGGCGTATACATACGTAAATTAAACTGAATACCTGTCATAATGTTATGGCTGTTAACTGTGTTTGTAGAGTTTTAAATTGACATACCTACATACAATATGCACATGAATTGAAAAGATTTTTATTTGATAAATTACAAAGATATGTACATACACATATATGGCATGCAAGTTCACATGCGAAAGTGTTCTATATTGCAAGTTATTTGAAGGTTAATAGTGATGCGAACATGATTTTCTCATATCTGGGTGAAGGTTCTTTCCAATCCAGTGACCCATTATTTCAAATTTGACAAGTTAAATCAAATAATACAACGCAGACATCTGAATCAACCAAGTCAAAGGTATATAAGGTATATTACTGTTTTGAAAACTTGGAGGGAGGAAATAAGCAGAACCATTGAAATGTGTGGAGTTAGAAGGAATTGGACATACGCAATTTTTAAATTTTTTGCTCATTTAAAATGTTGACCCATTGTGGGGAAGGTATAAGAAAGTAAGGAGTAATTCGATGCTGTCGATCTCCGCTCATAACCTAAGTCTGATATAAATATTGCGATTTTCGATAGCAATGATCTGGTGGGGACGGTGAGACGGTAGAACACATTACAGTTGGTCCGCGGGATTTTGTCTAGTGTTAATAATTAAAAAAAGTATTGAAATTAACTCAATGTTAATAATTTATTCATTTTTCATTCTAATTTCAGATGTAACTAACATATAACATTTCTTTGTTGGATATTTGGATAAGTTTGGACATGTTATAACTAGTGAGTATTATATCATTACTCTAATTAAAGAATTTATGGACAAATTAAAAAAAAGTAAAAAAGCAGCTAAGTACGACCGGTATGAACTTTTAATGCCCTGTACCATTTGGAAGGAACTTTAACAATTTCAAAAAATTCCCCTAACATGAAAACTATACGAAGATAAGGACCTGCAAAAATGTCTCTAAAATCACATAAATACTAAATATTCGGAGGTACCGTTTTATGGGGGCTATACGTAGCCGCGGGCCTGCATAGACAAGTTTTTCATAGGACTTGAAACACTTCCGAATAAAAATGTTGCTCAAATCATCAAAATTCCGAAAATCGGGATTTATCGTTAAAAGGGGGCTATACAAAGACGCGGATCTACAGTCGCGATTTTTTGCCATAGGCTGTAGTATCCATTGCAAACTCTAAATACAAGAGTTGAAACAATTCCGGTAAAATATCGCTAAAATTATCTAAATACCGAATATTGGGAGGTACCGTTACATGGTGGCTATATGAAAACGTGGACCGACTTAACCTGCCTACTGGAAAAGCACACATTTGTGCAAAATTTAAAAAATTACATGATTGCAACAGATGGACGATCAGGTAGGTAGGTAGGCCTGACATAAGTATTTCGAGGAGTTTTACATGGAATGACAAAGTTAAGATACCCTCCATAGTGTGGTGGAGGGTATAAAAATCTGGAGAAATATACAAAATTGAAAAGAGTTTGAAAAAAGTCGTGTTTAAAATTTTTTTTTTCACAGAATAACATATCGCTATATTCTAAAAAAATTCTCAACAGAAGAACTAAGTTTAAGTGTTTGATAAAAATTTGACTTCACGAATTTAAAATATTATTAACCTAAAACATTGCTCTCTTTAATAGAGAGTGATATGAAGTTAAGCCAATAGGGGGAATACTTCAGTCTTAAGCAATGAAAGTAATATAACTACACAGACAGTTATTTGCAAACAAGTCACCAGTTTTTAGTGTGAAATTTTTAAAGTATGGTTTGAAGCATTTAAATGATTCTTAACTCAATCATAATGTTTTGTTGGTTAATGTCAAACTAAATCAAAAAAGTTGTTACTTCTTAAATCTCCAGATATTATTTGATTTAGAGATAAAGTCATATAAGTGGATAAAAAAATTGCTAACTTATACAATAAACAAGTAAAAAAGCTTTAATTTCGGCCGGGCCAAACTTTGAATATCCTCTACTATTTGGAACGAATTTGAAAATTATCAAAAAAAAAATAAATAAATAAAATAAAATCCGTTCAAAATTCTGTTAAAATCTTAAAAATAACGAAGGTTGCCGTTATATTAGGGTCTATACGACGACGTGGACCTGCATAGGCAACTTTTGTCATAACCCATTACAATATTCAAACGCGAAACTTAAAAAAAAATCGATGAATAATGTGTTTAAAATCATCAATATACCGAATACGTGAAGGCTATGGCCCTGCATAGACAATTTTCTTTCTTAGGCTCTAGTATCCATTACGAACTTCAAATATCAAATTTGAAACATTTCCGGTGAATAATGTCGCTTAAATCATTTAAATACGAATATGGGGAGGTCATAGGCTGTAATATCCATTGCAAACATCAAATACCAAATACAAATGAATAATTTCGCTAAAATCGTCAAAATACCGAATATCCGGACTTGCCGTTATATGAGGGCTATACGAAGGTGTAGTCATGTATTTTGATGATTTAAGCTAAATTATTCACCCTTTATTTCAAGTTTCGAATTTGAATATGGAAATGGCTTATGACAAACAAAGCCTATGTAGGTTTACGTATTAGAGATCCCGTGAATAATTTCCGGTGAATAATGTCGCTTAAATAATCGAAATACGAATATCGGGAGGCACCGTTATATGAGGGTTGTACGAAGACAATTTTCTGTCATAGGCTGTAATATCCACTTCCAAACATCAAATACCAAATACATATGAATAATTTCGCTAAAATCATCAAAATACCGAATATCCGGAGGTGCCGTTATATGAGGACTATACGAAGGTGTGATCCTGTACGGACAATTTTCTGTCATAGGGCTAGAGCGTACATCCATTACGAATTTCAAATACCAAATTTAAAAACATTTCTGGTAAATAATGTCACTTAAATCACCAAAATGTGGTAGGTCCTTGTGGTTCATTTTCAATACAAAAAGTTCTGCAGACATAATATTCATTTGAGTAAAATTTTATCAACCTACTTCATATCGTTCGGGAGCTAAAGTAATTTCCACAGACGGAGAGACGGACGGACATCGCTAAATCGACATAGACATAGGGCCTAAAATGTATATTTCGGGGTGTTACAAACGGAATGACGAACTTAATATACCCTCCATACTATGGTGTAGGGTATAAAAGAAATAGCTACATTCGGCTGGGACGAACTTTTAATACCCTCCACCATTTAAAAGGAACTTGAAAATTAAAAAGAAAAAAATCCGACGAAAAATACAGCTTAAATTAAAACCGTTATATGGGAGACATACGAAGACGTGGACCTGCATAAGTAATTATCAGCCATTTTCCGAACTCCAAATTCAAAATTTAAAACAATTTTGGCGAATAACGTTGCTAAAATCATCAAAATACCGATTATATGTAGGCTATATGAAAACATGGACATGGTCCATTTACGAACTTAACCTGCCTACTGGCAAAATACGGACGTTTGCAAAATTTTATATTCTATCTCAATTCGTTCGAAAGATAGCGTGATTATAACAGACAGACAGTCGGACATCGCTAAATAGAATTTAACGCTGATCATGAATATATATACTTTGTTGGGTCTAACATAAATATTTCGAGGAGTTACAAACGGAATGACAAAGATAATGTACCCTCCATAGTAGGTGGAGGGTATAAAAACACATTTTTGGTGTTTTACAACTCATTGAGTAAATGAGCGATTCTTACTGATCGACCTTCTTTGAACTTTGATTGATGTTATGCACAATTAAATATTTCTGTCAACACCAAGTCTATTTCTGTCAACACCAATCATAATTAACACAGATTTCTTTTGTTCATATTATCTATATTATTTATATATTTTACATGTATACATGTTTGTATGTAATGTCTTTATCCATTGTTTAAAAGAAAAAAAAAAAAAAAAACAAAATGATGAAACTATGGTGTTGTTGTCTCTTTGGTTATACTACTTCTGATTACAAATAAAAATGCGTTGCAGCCATTGTTCCACATTTCACACGAGCCATTTCATTTCGTTTGCGTGTTTTTCTAGTCTTAGGGAGGTGCATGTGGCGGTTTTTATTTAATATGAGGATACGTAATTGCAGACCTTATGGCACCATGTGTCCTTGTGTCATCTATTACCGCATATAAACCCTATTACCTTTTCTACGAGACACACTGCGGTAATGCACTTGTTGGCTTCTGTTTACCTGCATTTTTTCCATTGTCTTATCGATTTTTTCAATTTATAAATAAATGCGATTCGCCTGATACGAAAGGAGTGAATGAGCGTGGATAATGGACACTATCATAAGATAGATTAATTATCCATACTAAACATTTATGATTAAATTGTGCATCATAATTTATTTGTAGTTTGGAATACAGTTTACGACAAAAAGGTTGTATGATATTAGAATGTTGCAAAACCCAATTAATGTGAACATTTTAGAATAAGTCGAAGTGCATACTACATATTGCTCTATAGAGGACATTTTCTAAAACCTTTACCTATAAAATATACAGGGTGATATAAAAAACTGTCCAACGCCACAATTTTCCATTTTTTTTTTTTAAATTTTATTGAATGAAATCAAAAAATGTCGAAAACAGCATCAAATTTTAGAATAAGTTTAGATTTGTTCGAATTGATCACCTCTGGCACGAATTATGGCCCTCAAACGGCCAATAAAACCGTCAACACGTTGCCCGAATGTTGCACTGCGATATTTTGGCCCATTCCCGGTGAAGCGCTTGCTTGAGGTGATCGGCACTTTGGTATTTTTTAGTGCCAACCTTGGACAGTAGTCCATCGCTGGAAGTGAAGCGAGGAACCTCATTTCGTAACTATTCTTGGGTGACGCGTGCTGAGTGCCATGGTGCTGAGTCCTGTTGGAATGTCCAAGATCTGCGGCCAAAATGTTTGCGTGTCCATGGCTTTAATACACCCTCTAGAATATTTTCACGATAATATTCGGAATTTATTTTGATGCTACGGTCGATTAACACCAGCGGAGAGCGACCATCGGCACGATCATTTTGTTTTTTTACAAACTGCTGAACAACGAATGTTTTCTCATCAGAGAAAACCAAATTCGGCAGTTCACCACTTTCGGCCAGGCGAAGCAACTCTTTAGTTCTTTTCAGTCTATTTTATATCTGTTGCGGTGTAAGTTCTTGCTCATTTTGGAATTTCAATGGCTTTACCCCGAGCTAATTTTTCAATATTTGCCGAATGGAATATTGCGATATGTTCAGCTCACGAGCCATTTTCGGCGACTGCGACGCGGGTTTCGATCAAGTCGTTTCTTTTCAAACCATTTCTGCTGAAGTTGCTGTTTTCTTCCGTCCATTTCCTTCACGAGACACAAAAGATTTGTTCACATTTAAATGCTGGCGTGCTCTAACGATAGCCACTTGTGGTTTTCCAGCCAAATATGAAAAAATCACAGTCTGTCCGTCCGTTCATGTATCCTTGTGAACAAAATGCAGGTCGCATTTATTATTCGATTGAGATGAAATTTTACCAAACAATATTTGTTTGGCCCAAGGATGAAACCTCTTGAAATTGATGATAATCTGATCAGATTTAGATATAGCTCCTATATTTCGGCTTAATTGTGCGTCAAATGGCTAATATAAGTTCAAATGGGGATACGTCGAATTAAGTCTAGAAGCATTAAATCGATTTTGGAAAAAATCGGTTCAGATATAGCTATAGCTCTCTTATATATGTTTCATCCGATTTGGGATTTTAAGTCCTTCAC